TTCTACAAATATAAAAGCAAAAGTCAATGATGTTGTGCAATATCAAGAAGGCAAAAGTTTTAAAAACTTCTAGTGGCCTTGAAAAGCAGAAATTAAATTACTGAAAACTGATGCAATTTTGGAGGACTGCAGAAAATGTAAGTCTCTTTCAAGAAAGTTATTGTACTTTATAATACATTTGAGAAGATGCCTTAAAATTATGTTATCACATAGATTCCTTCCAGAGATTCCAGAGAAGAGCAGCAATACTCATTCCAGGGTTAAAGAAACTTTCAGTTTCAGTAAAATATGTCTAAGAGGAGATCTTTACAGTATCAAAGCTGTTTATGTTAAGTGTGGGCACATAACTGAAATCTTGTAAAAGCTAATTTCACACCATTACTCTAAACACCTTTCACACATAAAATCATATATACAAAATTCTGATGTTTGTACAGTGAAATAACGTGTACACATGGGCTGAATGGCCTGTTCCTATCATTAGCTTTCTTGTATTCTCAAGTCATGTTTATTTGTGTCAATTATAATCTAAATTATAATTATAATTTAGATGACAGAGGAAAGAGGAAAATTCAGTTGTGAAAAGCAAAATTCACCCAAGCAATATTTCCTTAATTATTTTTTGGGATAAAGTGAACTGCTTTTCATCACTGAAACTCAAACATAAATCAGTCTGAACCAAAAAACCATGAAGAAATAATTTGCTTTGATTTTATGTTGTTTACTTTTGGAAGAACTGGCAGGCTAAAAAAATGAAAAGAAGTCCACAACCACAAGAAGGAGAATGTGATTGCTTAATTACACACTGCTGAGCTGCTGTGCACTATGTCTTCAGAAAAGCAGCAATGCAGATACACCATCAAGGTTGGAGTGGGTGGTAATCAACGAAACCGGAGCAGTCGATAAATAAATAACACTAATAAAAGAAGCAAAACCCCTGAGAAGCAGACAAACCACTCCAGGCTGTAGAGTGAGTTTAGTAATCCATTTTCAGCTCAATCCAACATACCCTTGAGCTCACAAACCAAGGCCAGAACTAACAGTGGTCCTACTTCAGCTTTAAAGTGTTGGAATGGATATCTTAGCATAAAAACCTACCTTTATTTTATGTCCTTAGAAAAACTTGCTTACATCACAACATGCCTTCAGCCATCCCATACAAACAAATAGCTTTAATTAAATTAAGGTCCCCAGACCCCAACCTACCCCCTCTGTAAACAGTGGAGATTTCTTCATTCTTATTACTTAGTTGTCACAAACCTTCTTTTATTTAAAGATGGGGATGATAACTGCTGACTAATGTGCAAGCAGTGTTAATATTTTAACCCAATGAACAGATGTAGGCTTTCATGAATAACTGGTGAGTATTTTTTATTTTGATTTTTTCAACTAGAATTATCTGGTTTGCTTTCTAATTAATCAATCAAAAATTGTCCAATTCAATGTCTAACATTCTTCTTTAGCAGTAGCATAATATGCAATTTTTCCATTTTTGTTAGTATACTGTTAAACCTTTTGTCAGAGACTGACAAAAAACAGGCAAGGTGAGAATTCCCATTTTACTGCTTGGTCTCTAAGAAGCATACATATATTAATAGACTTAAAGGTATCCTCTCAAGTTTTATATAATACAGGCTTCTATAGTACAGCCTGTTCCCATAATCATTAACAGTTTTTCAATTGTGATACAGTTTTTTACAAAACCACAAGGCATTGCCTTTAAGTTTTCAAGGTAATGCAAATTACAATGAGACAAACAATTTCTTTTCACTGTTAGAAACCTATTTGGAAACTGGAAATTCCTGTCTACTCTCGCTCAACACGTTTAACCAACAAGGCAGTTTTAATCTTAAAAAGCAAAGATGTGCTATTAAAATAAGAAGTATTTAGTGATTTATACATTATAAAGGAATGAAAAAAACATCTGAGTTTTTTCCAGTTTGAGTTTGTACCCTTCTCAGAGTATCAGGAACAACTGGAGGGACATTGACTTAAAGGACTGTCAAAGACATATCTATCTTTTATAACAGACTATTACTCTTTTACATATGGTATACACAACTTAAACTCAGTGTAGAGGTCAGCAGTGAGATGGGCAGGCGGACACAGAATCAGGGTTATACACCAACTAAAACGCAATTCTAAGGGACAGCACAAGCACACAGCTATGATGATGAAAGAGAAACTACAGTAGGAAAGCCATCAAATTACATACCTATCTAACTACAGGCCACAGCGCTTAAACCTAGAGCATAAGACATATTTTGTAATTCTCTGGACAAAAGAGAAAAAAAAAAGTTATTCACATTTTAAGTTTTAAGAAAAATATGACAACTGTCTCAAAAGCATACAAAATCAGGAATAACCGTATTACAGTGTCTAAGCAAGGTGTTTTTAAATTTCTAGATTATGCATTTGGCCAAATTTTAACCATAATTGATATGAATAGATGGAACTCCTTAGTAATTTTTAACTAATCTATTAACATAACCAAAGATTGTTTATCTTATCCAACAGTTGTGCATAAAAGTTAAGGATAGACATTTTAATATCAGAATACTTCATAACTTAAAAAGCAATTAGTAATGTTGTATCTAATATACTGGTTGTTGCTTTACAAGCTACAGCAATAAAGTGGCAACTACACATTTATGAACATATGAATATCTGGTTTACAAAAACTATAATTGTTACAATATTATAATGTAATTTCAAAACATATTGATATATCAATTTGGATATAATTGTAGAAATACAAATACTTCAGTTTCTATCAAGACAATTTCTTTCAGGTTTTATGATGTAAGAACATTTAACAGAAGGTTTGTGTTGTTTAAGAAGCTGTACTGCAAACTTGCTTATCTGAGCAGAAAGTAACTTTCACCACAAACTCCCTGAAACATCTTGTTCTGGAACTGAATAAAGCTGCTCTTTGTGAGCTGACAGTGTTTTACAGCTGAAATGTAGGACACTGCATTTGTGCGTTTGGAGAGATCAGTCACTGTGTTTATACTACACAGTGCCAAAGTTGGACAACACAAAGTTGTTGGATGCAATTCAGACAGAATAATTTGTATATTATGAAAGCTTCTCCCTTACCCTGAAATAAAACTAAAAACCATCACTGGTTAACTTCACCTGTGAGATACAGCATTGCATGAATCCCTAAACTGTTTTAAAATCTATATTTTTCTGATATTGACATTCTGACTGAATATCAGAATAACATTTACCCAGCATCCATCCATGTTTGAACTGCTTCATCCCGTACAGGTTTCAGAGGAGTCAAAGCCTTGCCTAGCTAGCAACAAGCACAAAAATAAGCCAAGCCAGTCTATCGCAGGGCACACACAAACACACACACTCACACTAGGACTTATTTTTCCAGAAGCCAATTAACCTACCAATATGTTTTTGGATTATGGGAGAAAACCCACACGAACACGGGAATAACATGCAAACTTCATATAGATAGCTCCCCAGGAATTAAACCCAGGGACCCAGTTTTGCAAGGCAGCAATGCTGACCAGTAAGCCAACATACCTGTTTTTCATGATTATTTACTTAAAATTTCACAGCACTAATTAAAAACATGGACAGAATAAAGAACAATTTTCAACCCATAACTCTCCTAAAAAAATATGTTTCATACACACCCACTATGTTGACCGCCAGTTAAAAAAATAGACGTTTTAACCTGATTAACACTTTTGTATGAAATGGAACGACACCAGATAACAATCTGCATACTTATGTCATCGGAATATAGAACTGCTGACCTTTCAGTCTGTACTTATTGCTAAAACCTTTATTTGACATACCACTGTTTTACATAATTAATAAAAACACAAAGTAATACCAATAATACAGCAGGACAAATACAAAAAAGTTCTATCAAATGTATTCTCTCCACTACAGAACTCATATATAGCTCTGGTTGACTTTTCTGATAGTATGCTTTGTGTTATACAGTGAGATTTATTACAGCATTTTAAATAACCTTCTCAATTTTTTGTTGATTAGATATATTGATCATTACAAAACACGAGGAAGTTGTATCATGTAGTGACATAATAGGGGTGTAAAGGAGTTCTGTAATGGAGATACCACCGCACAAGAAACGACCGCCTATTGTTCAAAATAGACCTCCCTCTCACTCGAAGCTAGCTTCACAAATCCATACCGGGCACTTCCAAGCTATTCTGTCAACATGACCAAATCATCTGGGATAATAATATCTTGGCTCTTTGTGTTACAATATACTAATACCATGGCATACAACACCACTACGCCTCAGCATCGAGGTGGCCCTGACTATTACTTTCTTTCAAATTAAGACTTTTTTATCCCCTCCTCGTCTTAAACATGTTGAATAGGCCCACATATTTTTTCTATTTTAAGATACAGTTTCTCATGTGCAAGACTTTTTTTCCCCCTCAACAATACCCAGTTATCAGTATTAAGAAAGCTGCATCTGAAGTAGATATAAATCATGTGTGAGAGTGAACGGACTTCCAAGCGGAAGTCGCGTCCAACACGAAAAACCTATTGACTGATCCGGAGGTTTGTATCTCTCTTTTCTGCAGAAAAGCTGGGCAAAAAAAAAAAACGACAGCCTGAACGAGAGTTCTGTTTAACAAAGTTTCTTGAAAAAACCCGTTTTAACTTTGTTTATGAAACGTTTGAGGTTCATCAAATTCTGACCACATTATTATTATTATTATTATTATTATAACAATGTCACTGAAAACTTTTATTGCTTGTTACAATAAAAAACCTAGGCAGCAGAACAATGAGTCATCACAGATGCTGCGTTCAAAACAAGACTTCGGTCAACATGATTTTTAGTGCATATAAAACATCAAAGATTTATTTTGAAAGTATATCTGATAATGTAAGCTATTAGTTTATTGCAGGTATTTCTACATTTTCTTAACTTTGTGGTTTAGTATGAAGAAATGTGCTCTACTTAAACGCACGTTCTAATAAGGTGTCCTTACCTATAAAACAAACTGCAATTAAAATATTAGGTTTAGTGAAGTAATCCTCCTGCTGACTTCTTATTTTACGTTCTCCCTTTAGTCAATCCCGGGGTAAAAAAAATCAGATCCCCCAAAAAAAGAAAGTTTGGAGAGGTCTGAAGAAAGTATGGATGCGCGTCCTGGAAGCTGCGCGAAAAAAGAAAGAAAGATCATGTTCAACTTCTTAGCGGTTTCGACAAAGGAGGAAAAAATAAAACAAAGCACACGTAGAACCAAAGTTTATTTTAGAAGACTGCTAAGATGATTTCCTGCACACACTCAAACAGAAAGAGGCACACAAAAAATCAATCCTATTTATTTTCTTCCCTCCCCAACTTAGGGAGTTCCACGGAAAAATGCAAAAAATGACAAAGATCTGAAAACTTCACCAAGCGAGCAGCAACTCTGCGTGAAAACTTCAGTAAAACACTACGACAAAGGAAACATTTAATAAACTCACCTTGAAGGACTTTGCTTCTCCTAACTCCAACGTGAGTTTAAAGTTTATGAATATCGACTGTTTATTTTTCAGGCGCTTTTTGTTTTCAATAAATATTTCTCCGGGTTTGACAGTAAAGGTGGAATGTGAAGTATGACTTTGGTATGAAATCAACGCAGGACACTGGAAAACGAAGAAAAAAAACTTTTAGGGAGGAGCGATCTGTGAACGTCAATCAACAAAGTTGGGGGCAGATACTTTCTTGAAAACTCCACCCCTACAAGTTTCAAAATTATTCACAGGTATGGGCATAATTCTGTGTGTACGAAGTTAAAATATTACAGTAATAGGGTGTAAAGTCTTTTAAATGCGGCGTGTGGTGTACTTGCATACTTGCATTTCCATTAGAATCGATTTAATTACACATGGTTTTTCACATGATTATTTGCATGATTCACGCAGCACCTTTGTTCATCAAGACTTTGCTAGCCTACACTTAAGCCTGGATTAGGTTATCGGTTATCGACCTCTGATTATCCCTAACTAAATTCTTTAATTTACCCTGGAAAACAACGATCTTGAGGCTTAACATGAAATCCAAAAGCTCCTAATAAAATAGTGGCAGCATTTAATGCAGGAACGACAGTACAAACTGAAAATAACTTCTCATTTGTAAATTAGTTTTTCCTCTTCCATTGAAACATTTTGAAGTGCTCTGAAGTTCTTAAACTGCACGAATAGACATATATATATATATTTTAACTTTGCTGAAAGGAAAGAAAAAGTTGCAAACCAGAGGACATTCGGCCCATCAAACGTCACATTCTTAACCTCATATATATCTATAGACTTTAGTCTTTATAGTCAAGCAAAACTGATTTTATTTCCCTTTCGTATAATTAGTTTTTGTCTGGTAGTATGTATTATATAATGTCATATATACCACGTGAACAATTATCTATTGTAAGCGAAATACTACTTTTCTCTTAAGATTTCCTACACTTTTCCTTAATACAACTTATTGAAAATATTTTTCAATACACTGTGTGGCTTCATCTATTTTATTTTAAGATATTTGCTGAAATTGAATAACTCAGTAACAGTCTTTTGTGTCTATTATATGCTTTCCTTGTATTTCAGAAAAGATAAGTAAACGTATTAATATTTTAAAATGCCATTTTTGCACCTGATTCTGATGGGTTATGGTTTGGTGTGTGACTGGAAGAACTATCTACCATATTATCAAAACATTTATTCAAATAGCTTGTCAAATTCAACAGATGGAAAACTGAATCAAAGAGTTCAATATTGTGGATTCTCTGTGTCTTTAGAAAAATTAGTAGTTATCATTTGCAATTAACCTGCTCTGCATTCCAATCGTTTCCAAAGTATCCCGGGTGTAAATGTCTGAGATTCTGAACTGTCAAAAACGTGCACTACTACTTTTTTAAATAAAGATCTGTCTGCTTCAAAGAACGCTTATATATAACGATATCCTCTTAGTCCGGAAATATATATCCTTGCTGACAACAGCTGTCGTAAAATATTGAAAACCTGGCACTAATTTTGCGCAAAAAAACGTTGAGTCAAACGTGCTCAAATAAAAAGACACTTAATCTAAAATGCATACTGTATCTTTGAAATTACTTTATAGTTGTTGTTTTTTTCATTACACTTTCCGTATTGATATACTTTCCAATTCCACCGTTAGGGGAACAGTTTTATTTACTTTAAAATCACAGTGTATTTACATTTATTATTATTATTATTATATCCTCACTATTACTTAACGTGAATATAACTGTGCTACAGGGATTCCACTGGCATAGAGTGCTTAAGGAATTGTGTTGAATTTCACAATGATGCGCAAACGGTTAAACTGCCTTCCATTTGCAGAATCTCCAATGACCATAAAATCAAATATGATGATGTAAGACTTTGGAAACATGCCCAAGAGTTAGCGATCGTTCTGGAAAGTAAGCAAGTGTTCTTCACTCTCCTTAAATACGCCTTTAGCTCCAGCAACAGCTCCGTCTGGAGGGCAGTGACTTTCACTGCAAATTGGGGCTGAATGAAGGAAACTCAATGAAAGCCAATTTTGCTAATTCTATGTTTAGAACTAGATATTAATTATTAATTATAAATCAATTGGTACAAAATAGATTTATCTAATAATTTCATACAATGCTAATTTACTTGAAACTGAATTTGGTATTTTTTTTTATCATTTTTGAACATTGTGTATACGTATAGTGTTTTACATGTTTTTTCATACCCCAATGACATAGGAACAAAAAGACATCATGTATTACAAATATTTCTGTATTGGATAATGTGTTTTACTTTAAAAAATGTTAAATGCTAAATATGTTACACTGTCATCTTAATAATTTAGCATAGGACAAAGTGTTATTTATCCTATGTAATTTAAGCCCAGAAAACACCCATTCATGTTTATCCCTGTAGTAAATATTTTAAAAATATTAATCTGCCATGGTCTACAGGTGACAGAGACACAGAGCCTTTAGTGTGCTATGATATTCTGGTACTTCTAGAGGGAAATTTTGGCCATTCTTCCAAACAGAATTTCTCCTTCAAATCCTTTTTATTTTTGTGTTCTTCAGCTCAAATCAATTGGATTGAGGTCTGGAAGTTGAGATGGTCAGTGAAAACCTTTGAGTGCAGTTAATAATTTCTGTATCAATTTGGGTTTATGATATTGATAATTGTCGTGCTCAAATGTCCATATTTGGACAAGTGTCAGCTTGTTGGTAGGGGGAACCAGCAGTTTGGCCAAAAAGTTCAGATCACCCCCTATCTTAACAATGGCTCCAGGACCCAATTGGAGGTGGCAAAAAAACAACAACAACACCCCACCATATTTCTCAGAGGATATTCTCAACATAAAAGTTCAGTTTGTTTCTTTTTATTGTTTAACCTTACAAGAGGTTAAACAATTCTTCCCAACTCAGTCATGAATGCATCATTGTTGAATGGTAGCTTTTGACACTTTGTATCCTAAAAATCCCAGTTTGTATTTCAGATGTCCAACTGATGCATTTGGATTTACTTTTGTCTCTTGAAACACAAGCTTCCTTTGCATACATACAATAAAAGTAAAATACCAATACTAATATGCATAAAGCCCCTTTACCCACACAAATACCTACCAAATGTTTTTGTACTATACATTTTGCTAAAAATAGTTATTTACACAAATATTTTGATTTATTGATAAATGATTAGTGACATCCAGAGGGTGCTGTGTAAACAGACTGTTTGTGGCTGATCACCAAATTGTATATATTTCTGGTATTGACCGTGAACATAGGTTTACTTTATAGTGTATCTCTGAGTAAATTAACTGCAGCTTGTCATGATATAGTGTCTCTCGGCTAGTGGTTGCCTTGGGAAACCATCATGTTCTCACGAGGGCTCACGGTATTCCGTGATTTTCTGCATAACCGAATCCTCTTCAGGATATCTGTACATAATTATCAATTATTCCATTCCCTAATTAATTACTCCATTACTCTATTTAAAGATGGAGCCCTGCTTTAACTGTGTTCCGTAATTGTTCTTTTCACCCCCTTTCAGTTCCACATCTGCATTTCTTCTCCGTTCCATTTTTATTTTTATTCTGCCCAGTCTTCTCGTCTGATCTCTGGTTCCCCAGGCAGATGCCTCAGCAGCCTCTCTGGGTGGTCAACTCACCCTGGATTCTGAAGCCTGTTTGCACCCCTGTCTGTAGTTCTCGATGCCAAGTTTCCACTCTGAAATCAAAATCCCCTTCTCCCTTGGGGCTTGGCATCTGGATCCTGTTCCAAGACCAAGAGACTTGAGTGTTCTCCTTTTTTCCCTAGGAACTTTGCACAGGATCTCGCTCTGTAGCTGAGGCTGCCCAATTACGTTAATGGACTGATTTGCCAGGGATGAGATCTCTGGGCTGGACCACTTACCTCTTGCTGCTGATGCAGTCTACTCAGACACCAGTCTAGATCCCTCCACTCATCACCGCATCTTCTGAACCAGACTGTACAGAGGCTCCTGGACTCCTCCCTGGGATTCCTGGACTCTTCTCTACTGGCCTCCTTTCCCCGTGGTTCCGTCCCACATCCAGGAGGCAGCTTATGTCAATCAGGACTCCAGGGTTCTCTGTAACAAATCCCAGAGATGACGTATGAGGATCCTATGCAGACGAAGGAGAGGGAAGATAGTGAAACAAGCGTACAATCCAAAACGTCAGGCGAGTTCGCGGTCTAAAGGCAAATGGAAGTTCAGAAGCCAAACAATACTGAGACAGCTGTACAATCCAAAATGCTAGGCAACTTCGTGGTCAAAGGGCAAAAGGAAGTTCAGTAGCTGGGAGAAGTATCGCAAGAGGCGTTCAAACAAAGGCAAGGTAAGAGCTCTCTAGGAGAGGAATGAATACCGAGGAGCGGGAAACAAGTTTAGATGGTTTAAATAGCGCTGCCTGCCGCTCGGTAGAGCGTGTGCTGATGGATTAACACGTGTGGCGGCGGCACTTGTTATTATAAATCCTCTGCTGGCACTGGTTAGCTCATTTGTGGGTTGATCACTGCTGGCTGGCGGTCGTGACATTCTCCTGGTGTAGCTCTGCCTTTTGCTTTCCCCTTCCACTTCACTCCACACCTGGATGTCACTGCTCATCACAGCCTCTAACCTGCATGACCTGTGTCTCCTGGCCTCCGCCCTGGGATCCCTGGACATTTCCCTTCTGGCCTCCTTCTCCAGCAGTTCCATCCTGCATCCAGGAGGCAGCTTCCGTTGTCCAGGACTCTAGTGCTCTGTCCGTGCAGTTCCCTCACCTCTTGGCCTACAGCTCAATTTTGATCCTGTTTAGCCCTGTCCTTTGCACTCTTTCTTTTCTCTGTCTCCTTTCCGGGCCACCCTTCTAGCTCCTCTTTGGAGCGGCTTCCTCTATGGGTTCAGGGCTCTTTTCTTCCCCTCACTCCTGTTTCTCAGGCTTTCTGGGTTCAGGGCTCTTTCTCCTTTTTTCTCAAGTCTCCTTTTAGTGTCCCAGCAGAGACTTCTGTTTCATCCTGGGGATCCAAGCATCCTTGTCCGCTCTGTCTGGAAAGCAATTCCTTGTT